GGTACAGGGGGGAAAGACAAGCATTCATTTACTCAGTGGACAGAGGCGGAGTTAATTACCCATGAGCACTTGGTGCAATCCAAGGGATTCCCCTTTAAATCAACACTTGTCATTTTCTTGAGACTGACCGTCTTGGGACCTTCATTATATTTATAGAAAATGCCAAAATTATAGTACGAAATGAAAGTTTAAAAGATTGAACTGATGTAACTTTAGAATGTTGAAGCATGTGAACTGCTTTTGTTATGGCCAGTTAGAAAACAATTGTCTTATTGACTTATTTCTGACTTGATTTGCAGAATTTGTGAAACAATGGTGCCATAGTACCAGAAGTGCACATTTTCCTCTACATCTACACCTCTCAAGGCTGATTGGCCATTTGAACTGTTACACTATAAACAGCATATTTTTTTTTTAAATGGCAAAACTATTTTTCAAGCTCGCACCTTTGACATTGGAAAGATGGGACCACATGTAAATGAAACAGATCCGTTCACACTCACAATGTGATTTTCTCAATTACTCAGCAACTGAGCTATAATATTGGAAATATTTGTGGTTACAAGACGCTTCATAAAATGCCAGAATGTACGACTATTAGGTGTTGTGCACAAGGTCAAATTAAAATGAAATGCATATTATACAAAAAAAACAAATAGATGTGATGAAAAGATGTTTTTATTTATTTTTATGTTGGAAACCACAAAAATGATTTCAAATTATAATACAATACTCTGGACAATGAGGTCAATTTATTTTTGGATGGTTAAATATTTAGAGCAATGAAAGCTGGGATTGATTTGAATTGTGCTAATATAACCAAAAACACGCATTAAAACCGGGCCCATCATGTATGTGCAAATTCACCATACATAGTTATTATTTCCCATTGTTGAGCACAAGACAAAACAAAGTCCATCCTATTCAAATATATTAAGGACACAACTCTTAACACTTTTTTTTTAGTGAAACTAAACAGAGATAACTATCATCGCCGACGTGGAACATATGCAAGTTTTCTACTCTTCAGAACTGACCACTTGTGTCTTTTAAGGTAATAAGAGACTGAAATCAACAGACCCAATACCATAAGTGCCTGAAATAGACAATATATTTATCTTATTATGCCAGTAGATTATTGTTAAGTAACAACTCTTAGTATTTTGCATTTGTCTATTAATTTATTTTTTGTTCGTCTTATTTTACATTGAAGAACTTTTTTTTATAAATCATTAATTGTGAATCCTTGCTGAACATATTAATATTAATTAATATTTGCTGAACACAGATCTGGCCTTGTCAAGTAACACCATGTAAATTGTACTATGTATGAACACAGAATTTACGTATGTGTAGATTAATTGCACAAGTTACCAACTTATACCATGACAAAATTGCACTTGCAGCTGCACTTGACCCATATAATAAACATCACTGAATTTAAATTACACAATTAAAAAAGGTCTATTGTATGCTCTGTAGTTGCTCATTATTAAGTTGTTTTAAATACAATCTACATAGACAAAGAGACATGTGAGGATTTACAGGAATAGATGTACAGCCAGAACAATAGCTCATATGACCAGTAATTTGTGCAGAAAAGTTGTAGATGGTTTGTTTTTACCTTGAGTCCCATTCTTTTACGTTGATCATGTTCTGGTTCTGCAGCCCATCTTAAGAAAACAGAGACATCTTTTGCCATCTGACTTCTAGATGCGTATGTACCTGTGAGAAAGAATGATTTTACTAAGATGGATTTGGCATCTAGATGGGTTTTCAACCACCAGCACTCAAATGCATTCTTAGTGTTTACTTAATGGTGGTTGACTGCCAGTAAAACTGACTTTTACAATTTGGTTTTATTTCATACTGTTGCAAAAAAGTAAGATAAAGTAGGTAAAATTAGCTAATTAAAATATATTGATGCCAAACAATTCAGTATGCATGTACAAAGTTTCAACTCATTTGAGCAAACTATTGCTAGAATATCCATGAAACATAAAAGTAGTTCAGGTAAGCAAATTAGCTAATGACATTTGCATATTAATTCCAAAGTACTGTTAGACATTCAACTACACAAAACAGTATGCATGTACCACATTTTAACATGAAAAAGCTATTGTTAGGATATCAACAAATGTTGTTACAGTAGAGCTCAGTCATGCAATAATAAATGCATGCAATTTGCATACTGTAAAATACTTTATTTTAGCTGGAATTTCGCTGAAAAAGGCTTTTTGGGTGTTTTGTCTTGAATTTATTTTCACTGATTTTAGATGAGTTGAACAAGTTAAGCATAGGAAAAACTGGATTTTATTTTCACTGAAGCAGGGTTCTCCCCAGGGCTTTTTAGCGCCGAGGTCCGCGGGGCTATACCTGTGAATCTCGGCGCTTCACTTGGGACCTCGGCGCTATGTGTTCCCACCTCGGTGCTTGATTTCATATTTGACATGCCAATATCAGATATGAAAAAGCTTTGTTCGCCACGCCGGTCGCCCCCGACCGTCACTCAAAATTAGTTACCACCACGTAAATGCTTCCGACGAGGACTATTGTCTGATTGTTGGTATAATTACGTACCGACCGACACGCATCCTGCCAGTCGTGGATTATAATTTATAAACAATAGACCTAGTCGCACGATACGTAGCGGCTAGTCAAATTTGTGGAATTAGCACCTCTTTGTTTGTAAGTAAATACTTTCTGCGCTAGACACAGTCTTTAGATTGAAAGCTAAAATTATTTCAAAATCAATTCCACCTCGATATAACATGGTCAAATCGGAGTTCACGATCAGTTCACGCTACTCAAGAAAAAAAACAACGTGTTTATTGCGTGATTTGGTAAAATACATTTGAACTGTTATCATTGCGAATCATGTAAAAACTCTTCTTTCAAGACCTCATTTACCTTTTAAAAATTGCAAATCACCTCTTTCGAAAGCTGTCATGCAGTTTTCAATTGAAATCGATGCCAACACATCGTGCTACGACATCGCTTTACTTCCGCAATGTAATTTTTATGATCACTACCATTCGGAAAACTTCGGGTTCTACCGGCATTACCATGCGGCATTTTGATTGGTTAATGGAATTCTTGATCCATCGGGTCAAAGGACACATGCTAATGTTTCACAAACATCATGGCGGGTCTGTTTTTTTTTACCAAAGCGATCAAGTGATCAAAAACAAGTCATTGTCAATGACACGTCCCCGTTCCGTTCATATTTGAGTGACATATACATTCAAAGCAGATCATGACCGAAATGCACCTGCATATGTACAACACATTGTACTAAATCTGAACAAAATCCATGCATGCATGACTGAGATCCGGTTCTGGAATTGTGAAAATACGTGATTTTAATGCATTTTCGGCCTTAAAATGGCCATCATTCAGCTATTGCTAAGCGGATCATGAAACAAATGCACATATCTATTTGTGACATGATGCACCATGTGTGTGTGAAGTTTGAACTTGATCAATCCAGACATGTCTTGGATACGGATCCAGAACTGAATTCTTTAAGAAAATGGCCGCCAGTCGGCCATTTCAAACTTGATCCGAAAAAAAAAATGATGTGCATCAAGGTCCTATTATGTTTAATGTAAGTACCGAATTTGAACAAAATCCGTCCATGCATAACTGAGATCCGGGTTCGGAATGGTGAAAATGTGCGATTTCAATGCATTTTCGGCCTTAAAGCGGCCGCCATTTGGCTATCGTTAATGGGATCATGAAACAAATGCACATACATATTTGTGACATGATGTACCTTGTGTGTGTGAAGTTTGAACTTGATCAATCCAGACATGTCTCGGATACGGATCCAGAACTGAATTCTTTAAAACAAAATGGCCGCCAGTCGG